TATTCTGCTGTAATTCATTTCTGATGTATTGATTGGTTTTCCTGGCTGTATTGTTTGCTGTTTACCCTGTTGGGTTGAAAGTGAATGCTGTTCACTTTTGCCTATTGTCTTCTAGGTTCGAGGTTGAGTGGGACTCCCTTGCCTCGCTTGTATTGCTGCATCCATGCATTTTACTGTTTTACTGTATATATCTGCTATTGTTTCTGTTCCTGTAAATTCCCTTAGGATCTCTGTTTCTCTCTGCGCAAGAGAGGAGCATGATAGACATTAGGTCTTAACCCATGCATGATAACATTAGGTTAGTTTGATTCCCTTTGCAACCGTAGGTTAGAGTTCTGTCTCTTCTTTCTCAAAACAAACAGAAAAACACCATAAATATTTCAAACACAATAAAAGACACTTCTTCCGTAAAAGAATGCGTGAACTCATCAAAACGTCATTTTTGTCCGCTGGGACTGTTAATCAGAAAAACCTTTTCAGAAGGAATAAAATCAATCAAGACAAACTTGTGTCGTACGTGGCCCGAACTACGTTTGCTCTGATCTTTCATGCCGTATGAAAGTACGTAGGCATAGGATGCGATATCCTAGCGAGCAACCTTCCCCTCCTTTCCAGTAGGTAGGCGAACTACGTCGACTCTGATTTCTCGTTCCAGACGGGAATACGTAGGCATAAAGTGCGATACTTTGCCGAGTCATTTTCTTTTCTTTTAACCCCAGACCTGTAGAATAGATAGAATAACAATCCCTACCAGAAAACAAGCGTGGATCCCGTCGAGTACGACGGACGTGAGGGGTGTTAATACCTTCCCCTTGCGTAACCGACTCCCGAACCCAGGTTTTGGTTGCGATGACCATACCTTTCCCATTTTTCGCGAGGTTTACTTCGAGCGTTTCCTTTCCCTCCGTTGGGATAAATAACGCACGGTGGCGACTCTTCTGTTCAGTCGACGCCGATTTTCGCAGTAGCGACACTAAGCTCCAGACTTTGGAACATAGACATTTCTCCTGTCATGTGTCGCGAGCATCCAGAGTCCAGGTACCATGGTTGGTGTCCTGACCTTGCTGCTAAGAACATCTGCAACATGAATTATTTTATTTTTAGGTACCCAGATCTTCTTGGGTCCTTTTGGGTTAGTTGTTCTGAAGGTTTGTCTAAACTTCTGTTTTTCAATATAAGGTTTATTCTGACTAGCCTTAGATTTAAACACATGAATATTCTTTTCAGAATGTGTGTGTTCAATATCATTCAAGTGACCAAATTTAAAGTGGGAATATAAAGGAGTTTTCTTGATAATTTTATCAACAGGTTTTGGATTTAAGTCCTTTCCATAGGAAGATTTATATCCAATTCCTTTTTTGTTATTCCTGCTAACTCCATAGATCATAGAAGCCATTTTGCTTCTGTCTATGCTTTTAGCAAGAAACTTCTGAAAGCTGTAATCATATTTTTCCAAAATATTTTTGCATTCAGATTCAGTTTCAGAATCAGAGTTTTGTTGAGCTAATTCAGAATCATTTTTCAATCTTAAGTTCTTTTCATTTAGCTCAGCTACTTCTGATTTGAGAATATTATTCTCAGATACAAGATTGCTTTGATGCTTCTTGTATTTGAGCTTAATATTGTTATAGCTCTTCAGAACTTCTGATAACACTTTGATAAGTTCTTCTTTAGTGAGTTTAGCCATTACCTCTTCAGCGTCAGAGTCAGATTCAGATCCTAAAGTTCCTTCCTCCTGATCTTCTATGTCTGCCATCAATGCTACATTGGCACATTCCTCTTCTGACTCAAATTCAGATTCAGATGTATCTGAATCATCCCAGGTGGCCATTAGAACCTTCTTCTTCTTATCAGATTTTCTTTTAGGCTTTTCTTTCAACAACTTTGGACAATCATTTTTGTAATGCCCAGGTTCTTTACATTCATAGCAGATAACCTCCTTTTTGCCAGATCTTCTGTGTCCAGAAGATTCTTTTCTTTGGTCAGGCTTCCTGGAGTTTCTGAACTTCTTTCCTTTATGCTTCCAGAATTTGTTTATTCTTCTAGACAGCATGGATAGTTCATCTTCATCTTCAGATGAGGATTCTTCAGAGCTTTCCTCTATTACCTGCAATGCTTTAGCAGATTTATTAGATTTTAAAGCAATTGATTTACCTTTCTTTTGAGGTTCATCTTCCTCAAGTTCAATTTCATGACTCCTTAGTGAACTGATTAGTTCCTCCAAGGAAATCTTGTTCAGATCTTTATCCATTTTCAGCGCAGTCACCATAGGTCTCCATCTGGTAGGTAAGCTTCTGATGATCTTTTTCACATGATCAGCAGTAGAGTATCCTTTATCCAGAACCTTTAGTCCAGCTGTAAGTATTTGAAATCTGGAGAACATAGCTTCAACAAATTCAGCTTCTTCCATCTTGAAAGCTTCATACTTCTGAATTAGAGCCAGAGCCTTTGTTTCCTTGACTTGAGAGTTTCCCTCATGAGTCATCTTTAAGGACTCAAACATGTCAAATGCAGTTTCTCTATTTGTGATCTTTTCATACTCAGAGTGAGATATTGCATTTAACAATATTGTTCTAGCCTTGTGGTGATTTCTAAATTCCTTCTTTTGGGCTTCTGCCATAGATTTTCTATCTACTTTCTTAACATTCCCATCAATGGGATGAACATATCCATCTATGACCAAATCCCATAAATCAGCATCATAACCAAGGAAAAAACTTTCAATCCTGTCTTTCCAATAATCAAATTTCTCCCCATCAAACATAGGGGGTTTAGTGCTGATTTTGTCCCTTTCTTCATATTTGTTGTTAATGTTAGACATTGAATTATCAGCCATAGTAACAACCAAATATATATCAAAGTTTTTCTTACTGTATCTTTTCTGTCACTGTGAAGTGGTAGCACACATAGAACCGGAGCTCTGATGCCAACTGAAGGTGAGAAAATACTTAGAAGGGGGGTTGAATAAGTATGAAGATAAAAACTTAGAAATAAAAAGTCAAGTATTTTTATCCTGGTTCGTTGAACTCAACTACTCCAGTCCACCCTTCCTAGAGTGATTTGCCTTTCTCAAACAAGGACTTAATCCACTATTTAATCAACTGATTACAATAGTAAGCACTAAGAACAACTGTTCAAAGTCTTCTCAAGAACTACTGATCCTAACTGGATCTTCTTAAGGTTTTCTTACACTCAAATGTAATAACAAATACAAGTGTTAAAATGCTTCTAATAAAGCTTTATCACAACTGTGATTTTTCACTTAAGATTAAGAAGAAAGAAACTAATTCTAGAAAGAATATATGAATTTGTATGAGAGCTTTGATATTGAATTCTTTTCAAGTAATACGTCAACTGAAGAAGATGAGTGGAGACTTGCTTTTATAGGCACAGTGGTCCAAGAGCTTTTCACGTTGAGAAGTGTGTACCAAAAGGTCTGAGCCTTTTTGTCTTCACATCAAGTGACCTTTCCTAGAAAAAGAAAGCACAGAGAAATCCTTTTTGTCTGTGTTCTTGTGTCTAGCATAAATAAGGAAAGAGTCGTTTGGATATTCCAACGGACATAATCTTTGAATTCTTCTTCAATAATTTTCAGCAAGAATCATCAGAGTCTAATTTGATCAGAGCCTTCTGATGTTGATCAGAGTTTTGTTGAATCAGAGTCTTTGCAGCAAGTGTGCTTTTAGCGTGTATAAGTTCAGAGCAGAGTTTTGAGTCAGATCCTCAGTACTGACAGCGTTAGTACTCTCAGAGTCTTCTGAAGTAACTTTGCTTGAAAACTCTTCATACAGAATTCTTCTTTGGTTCAGATGCTTCAGATTCTTCTGGAGCTTCTGCTTCAGATCCTTTTGGAGCTTCTGCTTCAGATCCTTCTGGAGGCTACGCTCAGGATCTTCTGATGGCAGCGTTCAGAATCTTCTAATGGGTGCATCTGACGCTTCAGAGCTTTGCATATTTCTTATGTTCAGCTCTGATTTTCTTCTGGAGTGATATTTACTTTAATATCTGCAGCAAGCATTCTTAAGCAAATTTTAGAGTATATAATTCTTAATTACAAAATTTCATAATAGTTATCATCAAAACATAGAGATATTATTAAGAACCAATCTGTGTTCTAACATCACCTACCAGGATCCAAGGCTCATTTTGCTGTGCATTAATCCTTTCAATATCATGCCACAATTCCCTCCCGCGCTGCAGCTGGTTATGTGCATAAATGGCTGTCAACCAAAATAGAAAATATCCATTAACATCCTTAACCTTACAATGAATCAACTGATATGTGCTTTCCACTAGTGCCATGTTTCTTCTATTCTCATCCCAATGGATCCATATTCTGCCACTATCATGGTTTGAGTAGTTATCTATACAGTTGCCTTCTAATCTCAGTTTCCGACGAATACAAATTGCATTCTTCGCCTTAACTCTTGTTTCGATTAAAACAGATATTGTAGGGGTTAGTTTTTAGAGACGAGAGCTGGTCTCTCTAACTTTGCTTGCTTTATTCAGCCCTATGATGTTCCAAGAGACAATCATGGGACATCGTATAGGAACACCGAGGTTGGACTATCCCCGAGTGTTGCATAAAGGTTCCCGTCATTCTTCGTTGGCTTCTTGTTTTTTGGAATTGTACCAGTATCAATACCATTGGCCTTAAATTTGTCTTTCCTCCTCACCTCTGTTCACGCCATATCTTCATCTATTTCTATTTGTTTGTTGTTCGTCATTCATACAATTGTTCCAGATTTAGTATGTTCATGTCCTGTTACTTTTTGTGTTGGTGTCTTCAAGGTCTCCACTTCCTTATCAGCCACCCTATCATCCTGGTGCTTCTTCTCTTTAGGGTTCCACTGCATGGTTGGGTTCCTTAGTTGCTTCTCTTCACATTTATGCCCAATCCTCTGGCATTTTGTGCAGTATGGAGGCCTCCATTCATATTCTACCTGTTGTTGCATCTTCTCTCCTTTCTCATCCGTTATAGTGATTTCAGCAATGCGTTCTTATGTAACATCAACTTCTACTAGAACTCTAGCATACGAGATACGGTATTTGTTCGTGGTGCATTCATCAGTCATCAACGGGGTGCCCAGCATACTCGCCATCTTCCCTAAATTTTTTGCTCCCCATAGGTGCAACGGCAGTTGAGGAAGTTGAATCCATACCGGGATTGTACGTAACATATCATTCTTCAAATTGAAGTTTGGTTTCCATTCAGCTAACAGCATCGGCATATTGCGTATGGTGTAAGGCCCTTTCATGAGTACATCATCCCTCTCCTTGTGTGAATGAAATCTCAATACAAAATATCCTTCGTTGTTGTAATACATGTCAGGCAACTTAACGAAATTCCATTGTTTTAGCATGAATTGTTTGACCGTGTTCATACTTAAATCACCTCCCACTACATACATGATCAATGTTGTCTCCCAGAATTTCACCTCTGTTACAGTGTCTGCTTCTTCAATACGTACCTCTGCAATACCATTGACAATCGTTGGTGCAATGAATTCCAGTGTTAACCCGTTCCCAGGATTCCGATTTCCACTTATAACATCTACCCATAGTCTTCTAGGTTCTGTTGCCCCTTTTGGTGAAATTAGGGTTCTAGATTTGCTGCTTTCCTGTTCTTCCACAATCTCCTTTGTTGGCTCTTCTCCTCCATGTTGTTGTGTTTTGCTTGCATTCACGTTGGTTTCAGATGGTATGTCATCATCATTATTGCTGATGGCTGATGACGGTGTCGACACCACCTTTGGTGGTCGTCCTCGCCTCCCCATTTGTTGTTCAAACCATTATTTTTTGGAAATTGCAATTGACAACACTAACATAAATTTGAATTAATGACAATTTAATTTGTAAAAATTTGACAGGTTGTTCTTACAGGTTGGAAATTTTCGGGGGCTAGCAACTTAAAAAACCAATTTTGAGGCTGATCAATTCAGCTTGACCCCGTTGGTATTTTGACTTTGGTATTTGAGTTTTTAAGTGTTTTTCTAAGTGTTTGTTACTATAGGATGTCATTTACTAATATGTAGTTTGTTAGTTCAGCTATTAGTTTTCTTATGTGTTAATGTATGAATCAGATTGATCAACTTTATATATAAGTAAGCCACTTCATCTTCACCCTTTACAATTACTTGGAGTGGTGGTCTAAGTCTCTTTCAATTATTTCTTTTAATATTTCTACACCAATCATTTGTTAAATTTATGAAAGCTAAATGCAATTGACACTACCAATATGTTTTTCCTTTCAGAGATACGATCAATTTGCGTGTACCGTGTTATAGCTTCACTTTTATTGTGATCCTCTCTGTGGTTGCCAGTTTGAACCATCTTAAACTAGGAAAGCAGATTTTTGGTGCTGCTATGAGTTTGAACCATCTGCCTATGATGTAAGAACCCTTCTTCTATCCATTCAAATGCTTGGTGTAACTCCTACGATTCTTGTCCTAACACATGCTTGGTGCAAACCAAATGCAAGTATCATTCAACCTAACCTATCATGCTATTGAATTTTACGAATTAACTCAGATAGCATGACATGTCTTTAATTCTTTGCTGTTATTATATTTGTCACAGCAACTAGGAAGCCAACATTGTCCAATGCTTGGAATGGAAGTAAATTACTCTTCAATTTGGATGATGAACAAGTTCAAGAATACAAATCTTAGTAATTGACCTATCACGTAGCCTTCTAATCAATCAAACCAATTGCATATTCGTAGCTATGATTCTAATGATTATGGTTTTTCAATTTTAGGTTAGGCTCTTACCAATCCTCTCAAGTTTCTTCTCAAAATTATGAGTATGATAAATTTTGGACCAACACTCGAGAATTCAAGTCCCTTTGTGAAACCATTGGAAAACATCAGGTTTACACCACAATATTTCAACTTTTCTTATTTTCCTTAAATGAAGCTACATAACTGGTTTTCCATTAGCATCTTTGTATTACAGGAATATTTCTGCACAACTAATGGAACGACAATGTGGTTCAGAAGCACACCATCTACCTGGTACTACAGTTGTTGCTCGCGTTGCAATCGTTCAAACAAGGACCATTCACTCCCTTTTCAATGTGATTGTAATGGTCTCAATGTCGTCTAAGTAACGAAGTACAAAATTGAGATCGAAGTTCATCATGATGGACATGTTTGCTCCTTCATGTTTTGGGACAAAGAATGCATCCCAATTGTTGGCATTGTTGTTGCCAAGTTGCGAGGCATAATGAAAGAGGTAACTATCTTTTGTATACCCTCATTAAACCTTATCTGTGCACCATATTACTCATCATCTATCTTTTTCCCAATTTATACTGTTAGATACTTTGATGTGCAAAGGATTGGCATTTACGTATTTCTTGTGTAGGATGGGGAAGATCACCCTCAAATATTCCCTATCCACCTTAATTGTCTACTGAAAAAGAAGCTGGCGTTTCGTGTGAAGTATACTACCTTCTACAAACAATGCTCGATTGCCATGCTTAATAGGGATGAACACATGTACAACATGATCAATGAATATATGAACCCAAATGAGGTAACTCATACACTCTACGTACAAATACTTATGGAAATGCTGTCATGAGTAGCTGAGTTAATGTTAATAATTTGATTTGAATATAGCACACTTGAAATGTGGCTCTCTTGGAAACTCCTGCTACAAATCCAACATCTCAAAATAGGCATAATTTGGTAACCTATTTTTATGTTATCTGGCTCTATTCATTGCTATTCACAATTACATCGACATTTCACATTTTTATTATATATCCTGTTTGAACAGAGCCCAACTACTGAGGTAACTGTCTGAAACAAGCTCTACGAATACACCATATAACAGGGATGTTACCGCCATAACATATGATGATCCATGAAGACAGATTGATATGAATGAGTCATTTGGAATATCTTTTATGGTCGTTACCTACTTATTTTGTCTATCAATTTTTTTTGTAATGATCCTTAACTTAGAGAACCTCTATTGTGTTTTAAGATAACATTTCCCTACTATGTTTTGTTATTGTTTAAGCTTTCAAAACAAAAATTTACATTTATCCACAACTGCAACTTATGGTTATTATGAACAAATATCCTAAAAAAAGTCAATCTTGAACATTCACACCATTTGACATGCTTTCAGTTTTTGTGGGAGCTTTTGCTATCAACAAACTTAATGCATGACACCACATTGTAAAAAACTTCCTGCATCACATGGTTAATGCATCAAGCAACAATTAAGGATTTCACATTTGTTAACATGCAGTAAAGGATTTCAATTTAACAGTACATATTATGGTTACTGCATCACATGTTTAAGAAAAAAAGTGTAACAGTAACAATAATAATTCCCTACTGCATCACATGCTATTAAACACCCTTAATTACTCTTATTCAACAAGGATATAATGAGTGTTTGGAACCGCAATGCTTTTGATAAATAGGCTGGCATCATCATTTAAATTTGTGCATTTTCACGTACATGCTCATGTACTAAAAATGTATATTCATGTATGTTCGTAATAACATTCATGGTTTCTCATGCTGGATATGATGACTTTGAGATATTCAATTAAGCGTTACTTAAAACTTCCTCACAACTATGTTATGTGTTGCACCCCAAAATTTGACCAACATTTCTTTACCTAACTTGTGTTTCATTTCATTCACATTAGCATTATCATTTGCATTTCATTGACATGTATGCAGGAGATCAAGAGGTATGAGTACCAATCAAGATCTACACAAGAGTTTAAAGCTATCCAAGAAGGTTATTCAAGTGTTCAAGGGTTGATATCCTTGTCAGAGAAGTGAAAAGATCTTCAGAGAGAGTGGTTGAAACCAAGGTTGTGTGCCTCCTAACTTGAGAGTTGTGGGAAGACCTCAGATGATTCTGAAGCCAATAATGTGGACTTGAAGCCTTTAGAGATCTCATGAGATATCTTGAAAGCCATCATGAGGCCTAGATAGGTCATTGTGCAAGACTAAGAAGCCTTAGCCATGAGTGGTGTAATCAGGGTTTAACTGGGTCAACCCTAGGTCAACTGATGATTTGGAGAGGGTTGAGACCTAATTCAAAGGCCATGTGATCATGGATTGATGCATTGAGATGTTCTAAGTATGATTCCAAGGTTAACTCATCATGATTGAAGAGTTTGAGAAGTTTCAAGCTAGGGTTTCTAAGGCTTGACAGTGTAAAATCCCCTAGTTTGACCCCTATCTTCAAGGCAATTTAGCTCAAGATGTGATTGTCATCTCATCTTACCCCCAACATGAATGTTGTAGAGCTTGTTCTTAGCTTTAATTTTAGTACTAGAATTCCTTGATAGGATTTGTAGAACTCAAGTTATGACTTTGACAAGTTACAGGTCATTTGAGGTATGTGAATCTGGGGCCTTGAAAGTCACCCAGCTTGCATCCAACTTTTTCCCAAGAAGGATGATTCCTATGAACTTTTGGTCAACATGAATGTTGTTCCTTATCTTCTTAGATTTCTAGAGAGTACTAGAAGTCCTTGATAGGATTTGTAGAACTCAGCTTATGGCTTTGACAAGTCAAGGGCATTTTGGTCATTTGGAGATTACAGGTCATTTCAACCATAAGGCCATAACTCCTATTTCCAAGCTTCAAATGGAAAAATCTTCAACATCAAACTTGTTCAAAATGATGTTTTAAGGCCTGTAAGGAGGTTATGAGATGTTGGAAAGGCTTGTAGCTCAAATTTGCAAAAATGACCTAAAATAAGGGCATAAGTTAAATAAACCAAAGTTGGAAATTGATATTTTCAACCTACACATCCAAACCATGGCATGTAATATATCATTTTGACTCTAGAAAACATTTTAAAAACATTGGTTTAGCCACATTTTTTATTTGAGGTCTAAATTGTGGACTTGCTTTGAAAGGCACTTACTTGCATATTAAGTAACACTTGCAAAACCCAAAATCAAGGCATGAGCAAGGCTTTTTGCAAGCTATACACCTCTAATATCTCACTAGGGGAGAAATTGAAAGTGAATGGGATGAATTCCAAGCTGTTTGCAAGGATTGTACATGTCATGATACATGATTGGAAATCTCATGACATGAGAAGTGGAAAATCTCATTGAAAGGATCTAGAGGATTCTAGATCATCCAAACTTCATCTATATAAGGAGTAGAGTGGATCCCTTGAAGAGGTTGGTGATCATTGAAGGATTGAGCTGAGTTTGAGATTGAAATTTCATAGCTTACAAGTGCAATCGGTTTCATCAAATTCTCCATTTTCTTTCCATTTTCTTGATTGATACTTCTTCCATGGATGTCAAGGAGTGATTCCAGATCATTTCCAAGAAGAATTGGTGGCTAGATCGTGTATGAGCAAGTGATTTTCAGCACCTGCAACTCACCATCGGGTTTCAAGATTCAAGCATTTTCCATTGGTTCTTTTGCATACAGAAGCAAGAGGAAGGTTCATTGATCGTGTCTGCAAGATTGTAGAGCTTGAAGTGAGGATTAGTGCATCTGTTCAACCAAGATTTTCAGGTTGGTACCTTTCTTCCTATAGCATGATTCAGGTATAATTAGGTTGAATTAAGGTGCTAGATTGATTGTAAAATGGTGTAGGATGGATTTCAGATAGTTAATTGAGGAATTAGAGACAAATTAGGTGAATCACCATTTTCGGTTGAGATTGGGATATGATGAATCCTGAGGTTTCAGAAGAAACTAAGGGTATGGTTGAGTTCGTGGCAAGATTTGGGATAAGATTCATGTTTTGACCTCTTGGATTGGAGGCCTCTAGAGAGAACTAGGGTTGAAGGGGATGACCGGAGCTCCACCGGTGGTGGCCAGAGCTGGGCGTGAAGCTCAGAGGTTTGAAAGGTTGAAGACGACCTCAGGACCATTGGATGAGGGTTTGACTTGGACTTTGAGACTGATCTAATGGCCACGTTTTAAAGCTGAGTGGTGAAGGATTTCTGAAGGAAACGCTGCGTTTCATTTATTCAGGCGTTTTGGGCTTAATGATTTAAGTGTTATTCACACCCCCCTGATGGCCCAACCCAAGATTTAAACTGTGTTTGGTTGCTATTTACACCGTGCGCTTAGTAATTTAATTGGATTTTCTTCTTTTTTTCATTTTATTCATGGTTTTTGTAAAAATCATAATTAATTGAAAATTTATCCAATTAAACCCATTCTTTTTGCATTTTACTCATGATTGAGTCTATTATTTTTTAGAGAAAAAATATTTTCATTTCATGTAATTTCTGATTTAATTGGAATTTTACATTTTAATTGATATTAAAATGATTATGTTTGATGCATATTTGTGTGGAATTTTGTATGATCTCATGGTGATAATTTTGAGCCTAACTTTTTGTGTGTAATTAGGTTAGACATGTATGATCCCATAGAATTTTTCTCACATTTTTGTGATGAAAATAGGTGTGCTTTCTAGATTGATATTTAGATGCTTCCTTTTAGGGTTTTAGGTTGGATACCTTAGAATGTAGAATTTAGTTCTAGGTCTAATTTGATGGTTTGATCTTTGAAATTAATGTGGTAGAGTCATGATTGATATAGGTTCCCATAGATATTTTTGTAGGATTTTACAATTAACTTTAGTATTTTAGTTAGGACTAACTTTAGTACTAGGTTTTAGGTGATCCTAACTTACTAACTCAACTAGTTTAACTTCTCTAGTCCCCTTAGATTAGGGTTTGTGCTTGGTTTTCCTTTGGTTGAGATTGAAGACAAGTTGAAGACAAGGTGAGGATGCTTGAAGTTGCTTGGAGCTTTGGATTTGTTGGTGCCTGAAGGTGTCTGATGAAAGATTAGGAGATAGGACATAGGGAGAGCCTTGTAGTTAGAATGATTTCTTTCACAAACATGGAAAGCATCTTGTGCTTCCATTCCTCCCCATGACTAAAAGTCCTTCTCAGATATTCACATCCCTCCTTTGGAAGGATGAGTGGCTTTATCTGGGAAGTAGAACTTTGAGGGAACCAGTCTCTCATAATGATGAACCCTTACAGGCTTCCTTTGGTTGTCAGTAAGCTTGTTTATCATTTCCACTCATCCTGTTAAATCAATTATCTTCTGGTTTGAGTATCTTGAGAGATATTGGGCTTGAGTTTGGAGACGAGAACTTCATTGAAGAGTGTGGAAGAGGATGATTCCTTGAGCATTGCCATTGCAGCTGAAGCTTGAAGAGCAAGAAGAGCAGGTTGATACTTGAAGATCCAATAAAAACTGAATGAAGAGCTGAGGCTTAAGGAATTGAAGGATGAAGTTGGCACTCCCATATGATTGAAGACTACTCTAAGAAGCTGAAGCTTGTAAGAGAGAAGACCAAGTTGAGACTGGTAGAGCAAAGAGAGCTGAAGCTTGAAGACTAAGTTGATACTTATGAAGAGGATTCAATTGAGATTGAGTGTAGAGCTAAGGCTTGAAGAAGAAGGACAAGTTGACATTTGTACATTGGTGCTTGGAGATCCTGAAGGAATCAAGTTGATACTTGTGGGTAAGAATGAAGCCTGAAGGTAGAATTGACTGAGGAGCTGAAGCTTGAAGAAGAAAGGACAAGTTGATACTTGTGTTTGATGG